AGGTTCGCAGTTACATGAACCGGGCGACCCTGACACCGGCAGAACGGAGTGAGCTGTTCTATCTTCTCATAAAACAACAACACCTGAATCCCTCGCGCTACGCCGCCGAGTGGCGACCCTACCTCGAAGACTTCTCGCAGCACTTCGCGAATGACTTCGCGCGTTCACCGTTCGAAGTCGACTTCTCACGTGACATCGACAAGCACTTGCTCGTCTTTCCTCACCTGCGCGTCAGATACTCGTTCACATTCAGAACAACACGCGAGCTTCGAGGTCACCTCGCGAACCCCAGGCTCAGATATGCGGGCGCGCTCGAGATCAAAACGACCGGGAAGCTCTTGGCCTGTGAACTCGAATATATTGGGAGCAGCAAGAACCTCGTCAACGTCCGCGAGCTCTCGCTGAAGGTGGAGCGAGGCAACCACATCATCGGTAAAGAAGTCACCGAAGCAACGCGACACCTCTTCACGTTATCGAACCTCGAACACCTCCGGCTCGTGAACTTCGTCTCGCTCGACTTCACACCATTTTTCCAGGACGAGGGCCTCGCATCACTCGAGCGCCTCGAGCTGATCGATTGCATTCGCGACTCGCGCGAACTCGCCAAACTCGCCGCATCGCCACACCTGGAAAACTTGCAAGGGCTGCATATCTCCACCGGAGAGGAGCCTGTCGAGATGAGTCCGCTCGCGAACGCGCGGCTCCCATCGTTAGCAACGCTCGAGCTTACAACAAAGCCCCCACGCCACACATCCCCTCCTGTCGGATCGGGGAATGGTGGTATCATCGACATCATCGAATCCATACGTCTCTCCCCGTTGACCTCGCTCACCCTCTCGGGACAGCGCATCACCGCGGCGAGCATCAGGGCGCTCACCGCAACCCCGTGTGTCACCAAGCTCGTGCTCTCGAACAACGCGCTCGGAGATGACGGCGTAAGAGCTCTCACCCGCGCTCTGGGCGTGTGTGAACTCGAACACCTTGACCTGAAAAACAACAACATCGGAGATGAAGGGCTGAGCGTGCTCGCTCGCTCAGAACTCGCTCGCTCGCTCGAACACCTCGACTTGCAAAACAACCACGATCTCGGCGCGAGAGGACTCGAAGCACTCGCGCTCTCGAAGGACCTGGGTAAGCTGAAGCACCTGAATTTACGCGGCGTGAACGTCGACTTGGCCTCCTGCCTGCTACTCCGCGATCGATTGGCCGAGAAAGGCTGTGAAATCGTCGGGCTCCGAAATCAAGTCTGCTCGAGATACATACAGGTGATTTTGGACACGCTCGAGGAAAGGCACCTCACGTCGTTAAACCTCAGCGGCATATTACCCCGCGACGAGCTCTGCGAGCGCATCTTCCTGGCTCCTGTATTCGCGCACGTCCAAAGGCTCGATGTCAGCTCGAACAAGAACTTCCATGCGATAAAACTATTAACGCAGAGCGCAGCGATCCTCGTCTCACTCTCGGCAAATAACACGATGTTAGAGGATGAAGACCTCGAGCGATTCCGAGAGGCAGGGAAGATGGCTCGTCTGGAGGTCCTCGAGTTGCGGGGGACGGGCATCGGCGCGCGAGGCTTGCGCGCGCTCATCACATCTCCAGCAGCATCGAGGCTACGGGAGCTCGATCTCATGGAGACCGAGCTCCCGCAGGTGAGCATGCAAGAGCTCGCGACCTCCAGATTGACGTCTCTCACGCGCCTCTTCCTTCCAAACATAACGATGGAGACCCTGTGTTGCCTGGCCAAGGCCCCCTGGATAAAACAACTCGACAGCTTCGAGGTATCGCCGGGATTACTCGATCTCGACGAATGCCGTCGCCTGCTGGCCACCTCACAACTTCCAACACAGCTCGAGCGAGCGCTGTGGGAGCATATCAACCCCCATACAACCGCTCGAAGGACGCGGAGCAGATAACGAAGGAGAGCGAGAGATGAGATTGGTGTACTGGAACTCGCGAGTGTTTGGTTTTGACTCCAGCGGCGCTCGCGCCTGGGACGTGAGCGGTGATGCGCCTGAACTGGTCGCGCGCTGTGATTACGAGAACAACTGGTCCGATGCTCGTGATTTCGACGTGGGCGGCGCCTGCTCGCAGGTCTTTGGCGAAGACCGCGAACATATCGCGGTCGGCATCCCGACGACGCAAGGCAAGGCCGAGATCCTCACCCTCGACTTCGACTTGGAAGTCGTCTCCAGGATCACGACCGCGGCGAGGATCGAGCTCTGGGATCTCGCGATCAGCCCGGACGGCAAACTCGGCGCCGGACACCTCTACGGAGACGGCGTCGTGACCTGGGATATGAAGGATGGCGCGACCTCGCGCGAGTTCGATGGCCACATCAGCTCGGCGGCGGCGTTTTCACCAGATGGCCGCTACATCAGCGCGCTCGACAGTGGTCAGGGAGGAGGCGCCTTCTATCTGCTCGATCTGCAAGAACACCCCGAGGAAGATCCTCGACGCGAGTTCTCTCACGCGCAGGCAAGGCAACCTCTCTTCGACGCCTCGGCGCACGCGGCGTTCTCCGAGGATGGCTCCTTGCTCGCGTTCACCTCGACCGCATGGGGCATGAACGGCGTGGTCGTTTATGATGTCGCATCCATGCGCGAACTCTGGTCCACCAAATACGAAATGCTCCACCCCGACGAGGAGCTCTGGGACGCCCAGTCCGTCGCGTTTACCCCGAGCGGCGAGACGCTGGTGGTCGGATTGGAGCAAACCCTCCTCGCCTTCGACGCCCAAACAGGCGCGCCTCGCACATCGATCGATGGCTACGAGGATGATGTCCCTCCCTATTTCGCGCTCGACGCCGAGCGAAGATGCGTCTGGACTACACGTGAAAAAACATTGGCGTCACGCGATTGGCCAGAAGACTGGTAAAAACACGAGCACACCTCGAAAAGAGGAGCGCCCGAGTGATTTTTCAAAAATCACTCGGGCGCTCCTCTTTTTGGGTACGACGGACCACGGCTCAGAAGCCGAGGTACTCGAGCTCCTCATCGGTGAGCTCGTGGATACATGGCCTGACGCCATGCTCGCCGGTGCGCGGGTTGTAGTAGGGCTCCTCGTCGAGGAGGTTGCGCGAGACGAGCTGCATGCGCTGGATCTGGTCCTGCTCGTTCTCGATCATGTCGTATTCGCTCACGATGTTGGCGATCACGCCAGCCGGAACGATCGCCTCACCATCATTCTGATTCTGGCGGTTGTAGTTGGTGATATAAGCGTTGGAATCTCGCCTGAAGAGCGAGACGAGCTGCGCCAGACGCTCCGCGCTCAGTTCGTTGTCCTCGCGAAGCTTGATCAGGCGCTGGCGTCGATCCTTGATGCGAAGATCGACCTCCTCGATCTTCTTGGTGAACGCCTCTTTAAGCTGTTCGGTTGTCTTGATCGAATAACTCGTGCCTTCAAACATGCGATAACTGACGCGATGTCCCATTTTCGTACCTCCATCAGGGTGCGCTCGGGGAAAGCGGGGGGTTGGGGGTCCTTAACTGGACTCGGTTCGCATTTGTTCCCTCCAACCTGTCAGTGAGAACAGAACGGCTGGGAGTCCCCGTTTGCTTCGCGTAGGATAAGCCCGTGATGTGGCAGCAGGAGCAACAATGGACGATGTAGATCCAAATCAACACCCGCTGGTGATCTTACTGGGAGCGATCTGCTGGCTGCTGGTCTCGTTAGTCCTCTACGCCCTCCAATTCACGCTCGTGGTCGGCATCTTGCTGATCCCGATGGTGCTTCTGTTTGTCCTGCTGGACGCGCTCTTCGAGCTCGAGCGCATCATCCCTGGTTGGCTCCTGTTTGGAACCATGGGTGGCTTGCCGATGCTCTGCGCGTTGGTGTTTCTCGAGCGGCGAGAGGAAGAAAACAGCCTACGCCTCATCCTCGGTAGGTTCTATGGCACCGTCTCGGACTCGTTGCGCTCCTATCGCGAGCGGATGCGTCAGCACTACGAGCGAGGGCAGCGCAAATACAACGGAGACCTCGGGCCACAGGAGCTCGATGCGCTCACGTCAGCGCCCGAACAACTGGCGAGGTTACGGAACATCAGGCGGCTGCACATGGTGAACCTGCTGATCGCGATCGTGAGCGGGCCGCTCCTGACATGGGCGCTGCTGACACAATCGCATCACTTCGGGCTCGCGTTCGAAGACCTCGCTGCGGGGATCATGTTCGGCGCGCTGCCTTTCTTTGGTGGCTGGTTCATATGGATGAGCGCGGCGGGGGTGCGTATGACCGCAGCCAGGCTCGCGCTGCAAGAAGCCCAGGGGAGCAATGAGGTCTACACCGAGCGGTCGAGGGCGCAGGCGGGGAGCCTGACCTCGGCTGAAGGTGTGGGCGATGGCGGCGAGCTCTCGATCGCAGCGGACGCGGACGGGTTGACGCTCGTCGAGCAATCGCAGGACCCTTGAGCCAACCTCCACGCTCCACCGCGAGGCTTCGATGACGATCATCCAGAGAAACACCTGCCTGTCGTGCTCTTCGGACGCCCTGGAGGACATCGTGTACATCTCCAGAGAAGGCGTTCCTCACGGTCAGGAGGAGCATCGAATCACCTACAGCACCGTGGCGGGTGTGCGTTGCGAGAGCTGTCGCGCCGTGTTCTTCGAGTCCTACGACCACGACTGCTTTCAGTACGACGAGCCCTGGAACATGGCCTGGTATGCGCTGCTCGAAGATTTCGCGGCCCTGGAGAACGCGCTCCAACTCTGTCCCGACGCGCTCGACCCAACATGTGAGTGCGAGTTGCATGAAAAGCTCCGAGAGAGCAACCCGGGATACTGGGGACAGCGCGCGAACTACTCGTTCTATATCGGGAGCGTGCGATACGCCACCATTCGCGCGGTCACCGAACCGGAGCATGGCACATTTACGCACTTCGAGCGCATCGAAGAGGTGGGCGTTCGACACTCGTCAGGTTGACCCGCTCGACATCCACACACCTGGAGCATTCATGGATCGGGACGCCTTCGCCGAAGTACGCAGTTACATGAACCGCCCGAAGCTCAGCGCGCTGGATTGGTACGCATTAAAACAGTTGCTCGTCGAGGCACATCAGGCAAACCCCGCGCGCTACGCGGCGCAGTGGCGTCCCTACCTGGACGGCTTTCGACATCACTTCGAGGAGCACTTCGACAAGAACTTCCTCGACATCACCTACCTCCCAGATGTCAAAGAGCTCCTCGAGCTATACCCCTTCGTCCTGGTTCGGAGCGAGTTCACGCTCTCGAAGACGCGGATCCTCTACAACGAGCTGGAGCGCGAGAGCTTCCGCTGGGTAGGGCAACTCGTTTTGCACATGCATACGAAGTTACCCGCGAAGGCGATCACCTCGATCTCGACATCACCCAACGCGGTAAACTTGCGAGAAATCGAGCTGGACCTCAGCGACAACCACTCGGTGCTCGACGAGCGAACCTGTCGCGCGCTCCCGAGCTTATTCACGCTCCCGAAGCTGCACACGTTCACGCTCGTCGGCGCGACGCTCCTCGACGCCAACGCGCTCGCTTCCCCCGAACTCGAATCACTCGAGACGCTCCGATTGCTCGACACGATCACCGAGAACCAGTTGCCCCAGCTCCTGGACTCCCCCCACGTCTCGAAGCTGAGAGAGCTTGTCATCCATGGAGGCATCCACTCCATGAGCGCGCTCCCGTTCGCCCACGCGACGCAGCTCGAGGCGCTCGAAGCGCTCGAGCTGCGGGGCGCTCAGCGGAGCTGGACCAAGCGCCCCGCGGGTATTCGGGATGAAGGATGTCAGGCGCTCGCTGGCGCAAAACACCTCGCGACGCTGAAATCACTCACCCTCATACAACAAGAGATCACGGACGAGGGCGCGCGCTCCCTCATCCAGAGTCCTCACTTGACCTCGCTCACGCACCTTGACTTGGGGCACAACGCGATCGGAGATGCGGGCGCAGCGGCCATCGCGAACGCCTCGAACACAAGGACGCTCACACACCTCGACCTCTCTCAGAACATGTTGATCGGCGCTACAGGGCTGCGCGCGTTGGCGCGGTCGGAGCACTTCATCGCGTTGAAGAAGATCATCCTCGAAGGATTGCGCGTGGACGCCACATCGCAAGTCGTGCTCCAGAGCGCGCTCGGCGCGCGCTTTGGGTGCGAGATTCACGCGGCGCCCTCGGCGCTTCGGCAAACGGATGCTCCAGAGCTCGTGCGCGAGCTCGAGGAGCATCCCATCGAACACCTCATCTTGCGGCTCGAAGCGCCGGGGAGCGACACCTTGAGGATGCTGCTCGACGCAGACGCGCTCGCGCAGGTCGAGCATCTTCAACTCGCGGGAGATGTGAGCGATGAAGACATCGTCGCGTTCGTCGACGCGGGAGGGCTGAGGGGGTTGCGCTCGCTCTCGCTGTCTCACACCAACATCGGCGATCGCGCGCTGCGAGCGATCCTCGCGCACCCTCACACGATGAGCCTTCGCGAGTTGATGCTGGGCTCGACGCAGATTTCGGAGCGGGCGCTCAGGACGTTCGCGATGGCCGAGACGCTGACCTCGCTGGAGAACCTCGTGCTCCCCGAGGTCTCGTTCGAGATCCTCGAGTTGATCGCCAGGACGCCCTGGGCAAAACAACTCGAGCACTTTGGCAGCTCATCATCGCTCGACGAGAACACATGCGCGCGGCTCCTGGAGTTGGAGGACCTCCCCGACGCGATCAGCGAATGCGTCGAGGAAAACCTCCGCTATCACGCCGGGTAGATACACGCGCACGCTTCATGCGCGACCGAGGACCTGTCGCAATGCCTCTTCCAGAAAGTCCGAGACATCTCCTCTCGGGCGCTTCTTCGGTTCGCAATACGCGCCAGTGCATCGCGCGAACTGCGACCACCGACAGCGCTTCAGTGATTGTAGAGGTTCTCGATGTTGGTCAGGTAGGGAGACTCGCGGATGTATCCGATCCCCTTTGCATTAACGCGCGCTCTGCCAAGGCTGAGCGTCTTCAGGTTCGAGAGCGCGGGGCAATTGGCGAGCGCCTGCGCGCCGTAATTACCGACATTGTTTTGCGCGAGGCTCAGCCAGGTCAGGTTGACGAGCGTGGTGGTCTTCGCGAAGTCCTCGGCCCCCTTGCGTTTGATCTTGTTCGATCCGGCGTTGAGCTTCTCGAGTTTGCCAAGGTGCGGCGAGGCGCCGAGCGCGGCGATGCCAGCATCCTGAATGTTGTTGACGCTGATATCGAGATCGGTCAACTCGCTCATCAGCGGTGATTCGGCCAAAGCCTGCGCGCCTCTGGCGTTGATCTCGTTGTGGTAGAGGCGAAGGTACTCGAGGCGATGGATCGACTTCGCGTTGGCGAGCGCCTCCATGGCGCCATCGCTGATCTTGTTCCCTCCCACATCCAGGCGCACCACGTTCTCCAGATACGGAGACTCCATCATGCGCGCGAAGCGGCCATCGGTGAGGTTGCACTTGTAGCTGACGTTGATTCCCGTCAAGCGCACGGCGTGAGGTGCCGAAGTCAGGGAGTCGTAATCGAACTTCCCGCTCTCGATCGACAGAATAAGCGGCGGCCCCTCGGGGAAGAGGTTCGCCAGGTGCGCGATCTCATCGAGCGATTCGCCGAAACAATAGGGAAACTTGTCGATGTCGATCAGGTAGGGAATCCACTCGGCCCGGTAACGATCCTCGTCGAGCTCGATCGCCTGCTCGAGCAACTTTCGAAGCTCCCAGTAAGGCAACGTATGATAGCGCTGCGCCATACTTCGCAACTCACCGAACAACTCTTCCATCTGTGACATCGCAAAACCTCGAGAGACAGGTTCGTGAAAAGCGCACCCGAAAGCGCGAACAAGTGACTCCGCGAGCATCGGGCGGCGCTCTTTTTATCATCTTTAAGCTGGAAAGGCCGCCACGCATCGCCAAAATAATGATCGCAAGAGGAACAAAAAGGAGGCTTTTATGCTCAAGCTCGACCGCCGCGCGATCGCGCTCTCGCTGACGCTGCTCACATGTGCTGCCTGCACAGGCACTTGCGAGGGCGATCCAAACCCCGGCGCGGATATGTCCCCCGCCAAAGACATGACCGCGCCAGCGGATATGAATACCCCACAGGATATGACCTCCACGCCGGATATGATGGCTGGAGACATGGGAATGACCACGGAAGACGAGGAGATGGGAGACGCCATCCCCTCGCCAAACGCGACCCTGGCGATCGTGTCGCCAACAGTCGGCGCGGCCATCGATGGCGACACCATCGACCTCGCCGTCGAGATCGGCTGGTCAGAGCAAGAGGCCGCTGAAGGGTTGCTGACCGTGCGGCTTGGCACCGAGCTGCTCGAGCAACGCGTGGTGATGCTCTCGCCAGGAGAACCACAGACCTCTCGCATCGAAGGTCTGACGCCATCGCTTAAGAACCTGCGAGGACGAGAGGTCAACCTCTCTGTCTCACTCGAGACGCCGGGCGATGCGCCCGCCGCGCACGCGAACGTACTGATCACGTTTGGCGCAGGGATGGCAGCGGTCAAGGCGATCGCCGAGCGCGCCACGGGTCCAACGCGCATGCGCCGCGATGCAAGCGGGCGCCTTGTCGCCGTGGATACCAGCGTCAAACTCTCCGGCGCGACAACCGTCGAGCGAGGTTGGGAGATCGTCGAACAGCTCGCGCCAAGCTTCGGGATCGAGAACCCCAGCGAGCAACTAAAGACCTCCAACGTCACCGAAGACGAGGATGGCGAGGCGACGCTCGATCTCGCACAACATCACCTCGGGGTGCGCGTCGAGGGCGCATTTATCCAGGTACATATGAGCGAGGATGTCGCGTGGCGCGTGGAGTCGAACGTGGTCACCGGGTTGCCCGACGAGTTGCCTGTGGAGGTGAGCTTCTCGAGCGCGCTCAAATCACTGCGCATCGCCAACCCCGATCGCTTCGAGGTTGGCGGAGAGGCTCGCCGCATCTGGTACATCCCCTCGATGTTCGGCGAGCGAGAAGAAGCAAATCAGCAACCTCGCCTCGCTTATGTCGCAAACCTCCAGCTCCAGGATGGGGCGTTCCGCGCGATCCTCGATGCCGAGGATGGAACCGTCATCGAGCTCGAACCTCAGGAGCTCGAGTGCAGCAAGTTCGCGCGCGACATCGACTACGAGATCTTCGACGCGGGCAACAACACCGACGACCCGAGCTGCTTCTGGGACGAGCTCGATCCAGACGTCACGCTCGAATGCACGGACAGCTCGCCAGGCGGGTGCGATAACGCGAACGCGGATGTCACCGAGCTGCGAGACAACGTCGTGCGCACCTACGACTGGTTCTATGACAACGTCTGTCGCCGCTCTTATGACGGGTCGAACAGTCAGCTCGAAGCTTACGCTCGCGTCATCTACAGCGGCGGCACGATCGCGGCTACCAACACATGAGTACAAGCTTCGACACATTTTCCTGGTTGGAGGACGAATCCGAGCTCCGCTACAAGAATGAATCGGGCGCGCTCAACGAGCACTACTCGGACGCGTTCGGCATGTTCGCGCGCGCTCAAGCCTTTGGCGTCGATGATCCTCGCGTGATGGAGAACCTGAACTTCTCGGTCACGCACCGCGATGATTACGACGAGCTCGGCGGAGATGATAACGGCGGCGTTCACCGCAATGACTCGATCTTGAACAACGCTCTGCGCGCGCTGATCCTTGGCGAGGTGCTGAACGAGAACATCATCGAGCAGGTCGAGCTGAACGCCCTCACCCAGCTCTGGTATTACACGGCGCGCCACGACATCACCCGCTCCACAGGCTTTGACGGCTTCCAGCGAAAGCTGCTGGCGCGCGCGGCGAACTACGCGAGCAGCAACAAGTACGGGCTCACCGATGATGACGTCTGCCAGATCCAGAACGCGCTGTTCAAGGTCGGCATCGGTGATAGCGACCGAAGCTGCATCGACTACCTCGGGCCAGACGCAGACGGCGACCTCGTCGCGGACGACGAGGACAACTGCCCGAACACCCCGAACGCCTCGCAGTTCGACGGTGATGGCGACGGCATCGGCTACGCCTGTGATGGAGACAAGGATAACGACGGCATCCCCGAGGATGGCAACGGCGATGGCCAGCAGATGAGCCCGCCATGCACCTATCGTCTGGTTCAGGATGGCTTCCCCTGTGATGACAACTGCCCCGAGACGCCAAACCCCGAGCAGCGCTCGATCGATTATGGACAACCAGGCTTTGCCTGCATCGACACGGACAACGATGGCATCGTCGACTCCGAGGATAACTGCCGCACGACCCCGAACCCCTCACAAGGAGACGCGGATGGTGATGGGCGCGGCAACGCCTGTGATAATGACGATGACGACGACGGGATCGGGGACGCGATCGACAACTGCCACTTCACCCCGAACACCGATCAGGCAAACGCCGATGGCGACAGCTTCGGGGATGCCTGCGACAACTGCCCCGATGTCGTCAACGAAGGCCAACTGAACAATGACGGCGACGCACGCGGGGATCTGTGTGACCCGGACGATGACAACGACGGCGTCCTCGATGATGGCGATGGCAGCGGCGTGATCGGAGACTCGGTGTGTCCATCGAACCAATCCTCAGGGTGTGATGATAACTGCGTCTTTAACGCCAACCCGGATCAGTTCGATGGGGATGGCGATGGCGTGGGCTTCGCGTGTGATCCGGACGAGTATTTGCCCGCACACCTCGATAAAATCGAGAATGGCCTGCAAAAGCGCATCACGCGACCACCAGAAGGGATCGAAGGGATCGAGGCGTTCCTTATCCCGGTCCCCTTCTGCCCGGATGGCTGTGATGGCGATCCTCGCCAGGTCTTCACGGTCGGGCTCTCGACCAACGGCGACGTGCACATCGAGATCTTCGATCACACGGGGAGAGCGCTCCCCACGCGATGATGAACCCGATGTTCTCGCAGGGGCAGCAGCTCGTCTTCCTGCGCGGGCAGCGGCGCCTGATGGCGTCGCGAGGCTCCTGGGGCTGGGGCTGACCAACACGAACTTCGGACGCACCGGGAACTTCGACTACGAGGTCCAGATCGACCGAGTCGAGGCGCCCTGAAGATCAGCCAATGAGCGCGTCGTGCCGAGCAAAAGAGAGGCCGCCGAAAAGTTTCGAGCCCTGGGTGGTGTTCCGCACCAGGTCGGGAAACTTTTCGGCGGCCTCTCTTTTGCGGGCGGAAGGTCGGTGGCTCGCCAGCAACCGAGGAAGTTTGGCTTCTGTATTCTGCCAGGTCACGACATCATGGCTTGCATACACAGATAGAAACCAGGCGTGAACCGAGGCGAGCATCTCATGCACGAAATAGATCTATTCGGAGAACTTCGCTCGTTGATGAACGAGCCCCCAGATGAAAACGAGCGGCGCGCGTGGCAGCGGCGCATCATCGCGCTCACCGACAGCAGCGAGTGGCACGAGGAGATGCGTGAATACACGCGCGGTTTCCCGAAGCACTGGGAGACGCCGCTGCAGGTCGAATCACTCGACATGTTCGAGGCGCTCTCGGAGCGATTGCCCGCGGCGAGCTTCGAGCTCGATCTCCTCCGTGAGGATGTCCGACTCGAAGAGCTCGTCTCTCACCCGATGCGAGCACGCATCGCGATCCTGCGCATTCGGCTGAGCTCTCTTGGAGGAAACCGAATCGCGCAGCTCGTCGAACTGTGTGAACAGGAGGGCCTGAGGGCGATCGATCTGTCCATGCTCAAGCTGAGCCAGGGCAGCGCCGAGGCGCTCGTCGAGTCGCCGCTCATGTCGGTCCTGCGCGGCCTCGATCTCCAGGAAAACGCTATCAAGGATAGCGGGATCGAAGAGCTCGCGAAGTTCGATGGCGAGACGATCCTCGAAACACTCGACTTCAAGAACTGCTACCTGAGCGATGCGCCACTGGTGAAGCTCATCACCTCTCCGATCGCCTCGAACCTGCGAAAGCTCCAGCTCTACAACAACAGCTACGTCGGTGAAGCGGTGATCGAGGCGCTCGCTGATAAGTCGTGCGAGTTCTCGTTGCGGCGGTTGGGGCTCGCGTCGTGCAATGTCGATGATGACGCGGTCCTCGCGCTTATGAAATCACGGCATGCCGCATCACTCGTGAAGCTCGACCTCTCGTACAACGAAGACGTCGGAGATGGCGCCGCCACAGTGATCGCCAGGGAATCCAGGCGGTTAGAAAAACTCCACCTCTCGAACACCTCGGTGGCAGATCGCGGCGCAAAGGCGCTCGCGGCGAGCCCGCACGTCTCCAAACTTCGCGTCCTCGGGCTGCACTGGTGCAAGGTCGGCGCGGAGGGTGCGGTCGCGCTCGCGAACTCAGACCACCTCGGCGCGCTCGAAGAGTTGTCACTGAGCCTCAACAACATCAGGGCAAAGGGAGCACGAGCTTTCGCGAAGACCACGAAGCTGACCTCGATGCGCGCGCTCTCCATCGGTGATAATCAGATCGGAGCCAGCGGCGTGAAGGCGTTCCTCGACTCGCCAAACATCGCCTGGCTCGACCACTTCAGCCTGCCAGAAGAAGAGGTCTCCGAGGAGCTCTATGCCAAGATCAAGTTCTCGCCGCACCTGACCAAAGCGCAACGCTGGAGCTACTGGAACCCCTGTTCTCTCAAAGAGCTCAGGAAGATGGCATCGGAGTACAAGATCAGGGGGCGCTCCAAGCTCGATCGAGACGAGCTTATCGAGGCGATCCTGGAACACCACCAGAGCGCCCACGCGAAATGAGGACGACGTGATCCCGCTCGATGTGATCGCCCGAGTCGAGGGGGTTGCCAGTGATTCTCACTGACGAGTATCCTCGGCCCGTTCGATGCGATGTTTTCCTGGAAATGATCCCCCCCCGACGTAAAACGAGCCCACATATGCGAATCACACGAAGCGCCCTTCTTTTGCTTGTCCCCTTCTTTCTGATCCTCTCGGCGTGTGGTGGTGCGCAGGAAGAACCTGACGCCACAGGACCGAGGTGCGGTCAGGATGAAGCCGTGCGCTGCGCGGCGGGGTGGCCGACCTGGCAGCTCGAAGACATCCAACCGGAGTCACCGCGATTCGGTCAGACTTATGGTCTGGAGGCATTCGATGGCCAGGTTGTTCTGGTGGCGAACCTCGTGGGGTGGTGTCCTTACTGTCAGTCTCAGGCGGTGAAGCTCGAGCAACTAAAAAGCGAGCTCGCAGCAAAGGGACACGACAACGTCGCCTTCGTGGTGGTGCATGGCGCGAGCGCGAACAATGAAGAGGATCAGCTCGCGCTCACATCGCGCTGCACGTTCCCCATCTTGCAGGACACAGACGACGCGGATGTCTGGGGAGAGAGCATGGGCGGCAAGGATGACTTCTTTCTCTACGCGCCCGATGGCACCTTGCTCGAGTACCTCCCCCCATCGAGCGGCACCAACCTGAGCAAGGAAGAAGACTACGCCTCGCTCGAGGCAAAGCTCATCGAAGCCGCTGACTCGCAGTAACCCCTGGCCTCACCGCCATGGCTTCACCTGGGAGCATCACTGGCAAATGGTACCGCTGTTGATGTCTTCCCCGCGGAACCTCAGGCTCAACGGATAAGGGTTGGGCATATCGCTGTTGTCCATCGAGTAAAAGAGGGTGCCTTCGACCGTGCCTCGGATCGCGTTGCCGTTGTCCTCTTCGGTCAGGTTGATCACGAGTGGAGGCGTCGTATCACCTGTGCCGTAGATGGTCCCGTTTCCGACGTCGATGATGATCGAGGAATCACCTGACTCGCCAGGTTTTGGCGTGAGCAGGGTGAAGTTGGCCATGGTGCCGTCGTTGTCGTAGAAATCGCCTCGGATATTGAGCAGCGTCGGGCCGAGTTCCTGGATCGACACGTAGGGACCGGAGAAGGCGCCGACGCCGATGATTTCGAACTCGTAGTAACAACTACAACCGCCGACCTGAACCGCCGCCGCGTCTCGCACATCAGAGCTGCCTGTCAGGTAGGCGACGACCGGGTAGGTTCCCTCCATCGCAGGGGGCGTATAGACGCCGTCTTGTGTAACCGCGCCTCCGGAGGGCGCCTCCCATGTGACGTCCTCG